ATGTCCAGAACCACAACATCATAATTTTTGTTGTTGTTGTTCTAAGTCAGCAGTTTGTCACAGCAGCAACAGGGAACTCACATAGTGGCCCTGGGCCACAGACACAAATCATTCTCTCCTTCATTTTCTTCTCTAATATTATCTCATATTCTCTCTTCTCTCTCTTCTCTAATATTATCTCATATTCTCTCCATGCTACTTTACCTTTACCTTGTTTGATTTATTTTCTTCTTCCCTATTCTCTCTTTAGACCCTCATTTCTGTTCTACTTTAATGTTATTTATATTCTATTACAAATCAGAAAAAATCTGCTGGTTCCTCTCAGTTTTCCCTCTCAATAATTCACATACATAAAAAAAAAAAAAAAGATGAAATAATCCAAATAAGGCAGAGGGCAAAATGTTGTAAAGATTTTTTTGCCTATATATTTATTTCTCTCATCACAATAAATTTTCCAAAAATACCTAGTTTAAAATACAGGATTTTTATGCCTACTTCACCGAGATCATGTAGGTTACAACCAACTTTTAAATTATCCCTATAAATATAGAAAACAATCAAACATAAAAATGAAATGAAAACAATTAATTTCAGTTCCAGTGCAGTACCCTGAGAGAAACCTTTTCAACCCTTATCAAAATTCTTTCTATTCACCACATGAGATGTAGATTAAAGAACAAAAAGAAGGAAAACAAACAGAAAAGGATTGAGAAAAAAATCATCCCAGTTTTGTAAATAATGCAGTTTGAATACACTTGAATTGGCTATTCACTTGAATTTATCAAAATGCAGTATTCATTTAAGCTGAAAACTAATCCTGTTTCAAACATGGCTCAATGTGCACTGAAGAAAAAAGAGATGACTCTGGGTATGTGGAAGCCCATCTGAATATGCATTCAATATAAACTAATAGCAGCTGGGAAATAAAATGGTTTTGATGCAGATGGGCAAGTGTTCTATAGAAAACATTTTTATCCTTCTTTAATAAAAGGTTTTTTCTCGCTTTTAATACAGACATAATCATAAAGAAAATTTCAAAGAATTCATTGCAAAGCACATTCTTAGGAAAACCCATTAAGTTTTTTAATTCCCTCTCATCGTGTGTGTGTTTGTGTGTGTGTGTGTGTGTGTGTGTGTGTGTGTGTATTTTCCATAGAGGCCATATACAGCAATGTCAACAGGTTAAGTTGTAAAAGTTTATTTCCAGGCAGTCATTTGAGACAAAATATTGTTTGCCAAGACTTGATTTTTCAGTTGGCAAACAAAAAAAAATTATATTTAACTCACAATGCATAAAGTAATATATTTTATCCCAGGAAATAAAAAAGAATGTTGTTGCAATTCTGGGAACAAATAACAAAATTAATCAATAAATTTTGCCTTCCGACATGTCTGTGCTTTTTAAAATGAGAAATATGCTGGATGCCTCATATTTGAAAATACATGAGTAGCAAGTAAAGAATTATACTGAGAATGTTACCAATATGGGCAAAGGAAATTCCTTGCATGCTCAAGGAATGCAATACCCAATTAGTTCTTCCCACAATAACTTCTTGTCAAAAAAAAAGCAAGACATCATCATGACACTCACGGCAGACACTCTACATCATTAATTAATTTATTCATGCAATAAAATGCATTGAGTATCAAATAAGTATCAAGCCTCAACTAGGTTCTTTCCTCATGAAATTGCATTGTGAATGGAACTTTCTTCTTCCCTATTCTGTATCTCTAGACCCATTTCCCAAAAAGGAAAGTGAGAACTAGCATTTCAATAATAGCTAACTCTCTGTGCCCCTTATGTGGCAGAGAGAGGATGTTTCTCACTGAATCTTCACAACAATCTTAAAAGATCAGAAATATTATTACTCTTACTATACTAAAGAGCAAATGGGAATTACAGAACTTAAGAAATTGGCCAGAAGTTATACTGCATTTTAGTAACATAGCCAAGAGTCATCAAGTATTTGTTTGATGCCATGTTCCAAGTTCTTAACCTCATTGCATATATGATTCGTCAAAAAAATGGGAAATGATCAGGTCATAAAGTTGGGTTTGAACTCAGCTTTCTTACTCCAAAACCTAAGTGATCAATCTGGTGAAGGAGGTAAGATATGTAACCCAGTAATTATGATGCAATATGAAAACTGGATGTGTGACAAGGCAGGGCAGGCTTTACAAAAGAACTTTATTGAGCTGAGATTTCAAGATGAATATAAATTAAACAAGAGACAAGTGAAAGGAATGGCATTTCAGCAGAGGGAAGATGGGTCCCGGGGGCATAGGTGCAAGAAAGTGGCAGCTCTGTCAGGGAACCACAAGACTGCAATGTGAGGGAAACAAAATTCAGACTGGCAAGTGGTCAGGAACTCCACCGGAAAAGGAAGTGGAGATTAGTCTCATAAAGATCCTCTTATAAAGTTGGAGATAACCATTCTTCCTGCTAAGAGTCAATGGATCCCTCCTCCCTTTCTTTTGAAGAGCATTTTGAAGGACAGGACAAACCATGGCTGGACAATGGAGCCAGTCTCAGTTTTGATCCACTGAACCTGAAGAGCACCTATGTAGCAGGATTAACTTTCTCAGAAATTTGCTGGAATGTCACAGAAAGAGTTGATTGGTTGACACGAAAATTGTCAATTTAGTAAGAACACAATTTAGAGAGGGAAAACCTAGCTCTGCTCACTGACGCATGTGCAAGACGAGATGCTGGCAGTGGAATTGTGTATTTATGATAATTTTTCTATTACAGGGCAAGGGAGGCCATCTACCAGGGAATTGCAGTAATTAGATGAGGAAAGTGATTGTTCCATAAAATTCAGCTAAAATGTTACAGTGGAGCAGAGAGAAATGAAGAATAAAGAGTATTTCCCAAATCAGAAAAGATTGTTTTATTGTCTATTTTACAAGCACAGTTAGGATGTTAAATTGGAAGCAAATCTAGCTGGAAAGCAATAACATCCCAGATTTGGCCATCAAATTAATTCTGTCGTAATGAAATGTGAAATTTGACTGAAATAAAGAGGAATTGGATTTAGACTGTCTATGCTGGTGGCTTTCAATTATAACATAACATAATCCACATCCTTTTGTTAAACATAAAAATAAATGCTGAGCAAACAGAGGAAACTACTGAACAAGAAACATAAAAAAAAGAGTTGCCAATCCAGAGATTTACAAGGCTTACCTGGGAGGTCATCAGAAAAATGAGGGTATCAGAATAGATCATTTCTAATGTCATCTACAACAGAGCTGTAAGTGAGGACAGCCATAAATTTAGCCTTAGGAGGGACCAACCTGTCTTGGCATGCAATAAAGTATGAAAGTTCGCAAACAGCTTACTTCTTTATCAGTTAGACAGGTTCTAGATTATTCCTATAATAATGTCCTGCTTTAGGCTATACTTTCTTAACATGGGAAAAAGCTGTTGAAATTATAGATGGTAACCTGGGTAGCCCGAATGACCATGGATTCTTTTTAGAGAGGCTGGGGTGTCTCTGTTACTCCGTGGTTCAACCCCAGAACATAGCAGAGGAAACCTATTACTGTTTTTATTAAGTAGCATTATAGTAGAGGAAACCTATTACTCTTTCTAGGTCTTTTCTCCATTTCTTTATCAGCATCTCTCCTTGGGAGGAAATAACTGGCCATATACTTAAACATTCTATTTTTACTTCCCTGCACTGGAGTAAGTGATAGAGACAGGCTGTCCAATCTCATTCAAAGTTCACTTTTCAGACCCGGGGCAAAGAAAAAAGAACAGCAGTTATGGCCTCTGTTAAAAGTTTTTACATTGATAGCATGTTAAAATGTGATATTTGGACTAAATTGTGTTAAAGTAGATAGATTATTAAAATTAATTTCACATTTCCTTTTTTAATAATATGGTTACTAGAATTGCTTTAATATTTATATGTGTCTTGTATTGTGTTTCTATCAAATGATGATGATCCAGAGAATTCATAGAATAAGACATCAGGGCCTTCCTGGTGGCACAAGGTTAAAGTCTCAGCACTGTCAAGCTATCACCAGCTACTGCAGCATGAGTTCGATCCCCAGCCAGGGAGCTGACCCACATGGCATAGCAGATCTCTCTTGTCTCACCTGCTGCTCCCCTCAGCAGTGTATTTGAGTAGATCTGCCTGTTCTGCTCCCCACTGTGTCTCTGGTGAATCCTCTCACCCCCCTCCATCTCTGGCCTATGCCCCTGTTCTTACATGCATAAATAAAAATAAATCTTTAAAAAAAGAAAGAATAAGACATCAGCCAACTATTTTTCCTACTGTAACTGAGGACCAGTAAGTGGCGAATGTGTTGGATACCCTCATCAGTCATGGTAAAGTGCATGATGGTCAGAAGCTGGAAGAATGTACAAAGTTGAGGAGCAAATTCCACAGTGAAATTCTTAGGAGCCCAAAGTTCTAGAACATGTTTGCAGCAACATCCCCTCTGAAGCAAAGGACATGTGATTGTGCCTTATACTACTTATCACCAATAGACAAGTATAACAATGGGTAGGCCTCTTCAGTATTTAGAAATGCCCCACACTTGGGAGTATTATTCTAATGACTATTTGATGACAGAGAGGATGTTAGTTTTGAGTCAGTTCAAGAACAAAAAGTCACTCTCTAGTAGATTTAATCTTTAGTAAAGAAGCCCTACAGTTTAGTGCACACCAGCTGACAGACCCATGCAACGGAGTTGGCATTGGGAATGCTAGGCTATATCAATGAACTTCCTCTTAAAATTTTCCCAGAAAAGTAACCAGTCAGAATCCTAGAGAACCTGTGCATGCATAGGTTAAATTTCATGTGAGAAATATAGTTGATCTGTTAAGATGTTGGCAAAATATACTCCCAACTCACACATCTGACAAGGGATTAATATCCAAAGTATATAAAGAACTGTTACAACTCAACAACAAAAAATGGGCAGAAGATTTGAGTAAACATCCTCCAAAGAAGACAGAAAGATGGCCAGGCATAGGAAAAGACACTTACCATCACTTATTAGTAGGGAAATTGAAGTCAAAACCATAGCGCGGCCTCTCTGGTGGCAAAGGCAGTTGAGTGCCGCACCGTGAAGCTGTCCGCAGCCTCTGCAGTGCCGGGTTCGATCCCAGCCGGCTGGTGAGAATCCCACATGGTGCAGCAGACCTCTCCTGTCTCGCCTGCTGCTCCCCTCAGCAGTGTACATCCGTCAATCTGCCTGTTCTGTTCCCGGCTCTGGCTCTGATGAATCCTCTCACTCTCCCGCGCATCTGGCCTGTACCCCAGTTCTTGCATAAAAATAAATAAATCTTTAAAAAAAAACAAAACAAAACACAGTGAGACATCATCTCACACCAGTGGGATATATCAAAAAAGATAAGTGGGATTTATCAAAAAAGACAATAGGATATTAAAAAAAAAATGATGGCAAGGATATAGAGAAAAGGGAACCCTCGTACAATGTTGGTGGGAATATAAATTTGTCCAATTATTAAATGTCAGGAACACAGTATGTATGTTCCTAAAAAATAACTTAAATTCTCTTAACCTTAAGTAAGATCAGATTTATTCTTCTCCTTAGTTTCAAACTATTAGCAATATCAGGGCTGAGGCTATATCCCCTGGTAATTATTTGTTTCTCTATTTCTCTATTGCTTATTAAATGTAAATCACTTCTGAGCCTTTGTGACTGTTCTTGTAACATTAGATTCACAGTAATTTCATAGTTACAAACATTTATCCCTTAAAACCTTAAATTTTATAACTTGTTTCCTAACTTCTAACTTGAAATCTATATTTGTAGATCCAACTGCCTACTTGAGATGTCTACATGAATATCTAATTAGCATCTCTTTGTTAAATGAACAAACAGCTTCCAGATCATTTATTGAGGGACCTGGGAGTCAGCACATAATAGGTACCCAACAAAATCAAACAAAAGCCAAAGTGGTTTGGTTTCAGAAATATCAGCCTGTATTAGGAACAGATCATAAACAGAAACAATATAATATAGCTTAGGACTTAAAAGGAATTAAACTTTATTTTAAACATGAGTCTATTTCTAATGTGATAATTTAGTTATCCTAGTATATTTTAAACAACTAGAGACAGGCTTTACATTCATGTATGTGTGTGTGTTGGGGAAATAGTATCAATGGAAAAAGAAAAGTCAGCACTAACATGAGCAGGTGGCAGATATAGGAAGTTTTTCAACCCAATGTACCTATTTGTAACCCAAATATAAAGCCCAGTCCTGATTTTTTTTTTAAGATTTATGCATACAAAAACTGGAGTACAGGCCAGAGATACAGGGGGAGAGAGGACTCAGCAAAGAGAGAGTGGGCAGCAGAACAGGCAGGCAGACTGAAAATTTCTTTAGAGTGGAAAGTATCTGTAACAAGACTCATTATATTCCCCAGAAATTTACCTTTCTTAGTGTTTCTGTTTCATTGTCTCCACCACTGACCCAGTTGCTTGTGCCAGAGCTGGGAATTTACCTTGACACTGGTCACCCTAAAGCTCCAACATCCAATCAGTTATCTAATTTTGTAGGTTTTACCTTCAAAACAACTTTCAATTCCATTTCCTCATTTCTATACCCACTTCCACTCTCTCTCCTCGAGGACTGTGAGATCCTATCTATCTCAAGCACAAGGTTTGGCAAAGAGCAGGCAACTGCTCAACCACTTTCAGGCACTTTCACTGTAGTAAGGTACAGTTCAAAACACTTTAGGACACTCTCAGTACATAGTTGTGAAGATTGCCCCAACATTATAGGTAAAGAAACTACAACTAAAAGGTGAAATTGTTCAACTGGTGGGATTTGTATAGAAAGACTTTTCTAGAACCAACAATGTTAGTATCAAACTATATTGCCTCCTCCTGCACCTGTCTGACTCATTCAGTTAATACATCATGACCTTCCCAGGGTACAGAGGGGCTTCCTGGATTTTTTTGGCAGTATACTAAACTTAAGATTCTCTGGCACTTTTCATTTGGGATTTTGATCCTAAATTAAAGATAAGCTCAAGAAAGAATAAAAAGAAATTTGGCTTTGGGAGACATACTTCAACCTTTGTAACCTAATAAAAGAAGACCAGGGACTTAGAATAATCAATAATGAGACAGCCATGAAAATGTGCTTCTCAGTTCTCCTGCCATATGAGCCCAAGTTACTATCCTCTGGATACCACAGTGTAAACACTGTCAGAAAAGTAAAGTCAGAAAGTTATTAAGCAATAAAAAAAGTTTGACTCCACTATTCAAAGTCAAGGGTTACATGATGCTAGACAACTGGGATTTATGAGAGCATTCACTCCCGGGTTCATGCAGGGGCTGATCCTGCACTTGAATATCCCTGAGAATGAGTATCTCCTTACATCTACACCCTAGGTGCCTCTGCCTCTCCCTCAGTCTGGCCCTGCCATAGTTGAGACACCAGGAAGAAGGGTCAAGTTTTTAATGGTTTTTGTAGATCCTCTCTACAGGATTTCCAAGTTGAATATATCTATGCACGCAAATAGAAAAAGGAGCACTACCTTTGATTTTAAACCTCAAGTTAATGTGCCCCTTCCCTGCTTTCAGTTGAGTATATAGAAAGATGAAATATCATGGAAACCATCTCCAAATGATTTGTCAAAACTTCAAGACTCCCTGTGACACTTCAGCTTTTCCAAATACTCTCCATCTCATTTTTTTTTTTTAACCTCTGACGTGTTCCTCTTTTCTATGACAATAATGGGGATTTGTTCATGACCATGTCAACTCGTAAGTCCAGCTAGGTCACAATGGGAAGCTCTCCTTTCTGCCTTATTATTACTACTACAGATATAGAAGGAGTAGATTTGCAGCAGTGAGCTTTTCTGTTGCTTTAAATTACCCAACAGCACTCCTGCTAACATTTTTAAAGTATCTAGCTCAGTGGTACCCTGTGATTCATATACCCTAGTTTCATACATATATATATATATATATATATTTCTTTTTTTAACTTGTAGCAAGGATTATCAAAACCTCCACTCATTGGGCCAAGACCCTGTGGCATTAGTAAAAAACTTGCCCCTCATGTAGCACACTACCTACACTTGTGAGTTCATCGGCCAGTGGCCTCAACTCTAGTTATATATTTCATTATACACCTGAACACACAGTTACTTGTAGATCTGGGTAGTGATGCAACAGTTATGTAACATTACACACTTTTTAATTGGTTATCCCAAACAGGAATTGCAAAACTAGAGACAGAAACAAACATGTCAACATAGCCATTCCAGAGAATAATCTTTCCTTAATCAATAAAATAACTTGTGAGAAAAGGGTATACTTAGGAACAATGATAATACATCAATCATGCTGAGAAATTTAATGTTCATGGAGCCATGCTTCCATTTCTTTGCCCCCAGCCTAATACCAAGTATCTTCAGTTAGATGCTTTTATTATTGAAGTCTTTTTCTTTTGGAAATTACAATTCTAAGAGACTTACCATTTTTTTTTTATGGCCTAGCTGTTCCACTCAATGATATAACATCATAGCCTAATATTTAGCATAGACTATAGAAAAGCACCAGAGGGGATAATTAAGCTCACCAAATGGGACATTGGATTCCTTCATGAGCCAGTGATAAAATGAAGACTATGTTATTAAACTTATATAACAAAAGTTCCAGTCTCTAACTCTAACTACTTGAACATGTTGGCTCCTCTTGGTCATTTTTTATTGTCCAAAAGAACACAGACATGAGGTTCGAAAGGAAAACTTCAAATAATGGAGGTAAAATTACAGCATTCGCGCATATTTACATCTTGCCTCCATCAATCATGCAACCTCACTAACACAATCAATGAGCATCAAGAGTATATGTGATTGATATTCTAAAATCTATTACATCATCATGAAAGTGCCTTACTCATCTCAGTGTATGTAATCTCCAAACACTTTTATCTCAGTGAGATCATTATCTATTTGGAATTACTTTGATTTCCTAAAACAGTCAATTATTCTTTCCCATTAAGGCCATTCAAAATTTGATAAGCAATAATTTAAATTCCTTTCACACTGATATTCAAAAGCCTATTGATAAATTCATCTTATTGTGAATTTACAGTTAGCATTTGAAAAGACATTTTTTCCTTTTTCACACATACAATCATTTTCTCCCCCTTCAACATGCCAAACCTAAAAGTGGGCGCACTACACCTGCCTTTTTATTTTATTTTCCCCTTATTTTTAACACTAACTTTTCCTCCTTGTTTTCTACCTGCTCTACTGGGATCCCTAAAATACAATTTACAGATGCTGCAAACCCATAGCATTGCCTTCCAATTACTTTATGTTGCTGCTTTGGGATTCACAACTTATACCTCTTCCTTAAAATTTTTAAAAATATCTTATGAGATGCAATGTGTTTCCATAGAGACTCACTTGTATAAATCATTTTGTAGATATCCTAGGTCATTACGGAACCCTTTGGAAAGGGACTATAATTTTACTAGACTCTAGTGCTTTAGTACATACAACTATTAAGAAAGTAGAAGCTGATAGTAGTAACAAAGGCTTCCAGAGATAACTAGAGATAGTATAGAGGAGGTTGATAAGAACTCTGGGTCCCTAGAAACCTTGTTATATGAAATATGGTTTCCAGATAACACAAAATTAAAGGGCTGTCTCATTCTAAATAACTTGAGAGCAATAATTGTATCAATCTTCCTAACTACCTTATATTCTCAGTCCCTAGTATATTCATTCATTTTTAAATGTAATGTTCACTATTATTATAATTTTGGGATTGTATTTTTATTCCTCCCTGTCTGCTCATGTTCCACTCACCCTCCACCAAACCACCCACGGCAATACCCTATTTACACCCCTCCCCTATCCCTTTCTCCTTCTCTCTGGTTCCCTCTGGTAGCCAATACAATTTTTCACTAAGTCCAAGATTTGTTTTTGTGTATTTTGCTAATAGATGTTTTTTGGTTATTTATAGTCCACATATCAGAGAAACCATCTAATCTCTGTCTTTCATTTTCTGACTTATTTCACTTAGCATAATCACCACAAGTTCTACCCATTTTGTCCCAAAAGGTACTATTCCATCTTTTTATTTTTTATTAAATTTATTTATAAATTTATTTATATTTTACATCGTTACTCATTTTTGTACAATGTTTGATTTCTCTTCTCAGGTGGAATCCCCACTGCAGCTTATGGAAGGTATTATTATGGAAGGTATCATGCTCAGTGAAATTAAGTCAGAAGGAAAAAGAAAAATATCAGATGATTTAACTTATAGGGGGAATATAGGGGAACTAAACAAGAGATTAGGAAAAAAAAACTAGCAGGCAAACTACAAATCTATATTTTCTTTATCTTCTCACCTGTCAATGGGAACTTAGTCTGGTTCTAGGACTTGTCAACTACAGACAGTACTGCTATGCACATAGGAGTATGACAGTACTTTTGTATTAAAGTTTTCATGTTTAGGTGGGAGAGGGGGAGTAAATACTAGCAGATATATTGCTGGATCACATGGATAAGTAATTCTCACCCAATGCTGGTGGGGATGCAAGTTGGTACAGCTCCTATGGAAAGCAATATGGATATTTCTCAAGAAAACAAAAATGAGAAAGCTCTCACTCAATGTAGTGAAGAGTTACGAAAAGGATTTGATATGTGAAGATGGCTTCAATGTGTCCCAGTGCACAGTCAGGGAGGTTAACAGGGACGGCTGAGGAGAGGTGTGATGAATGGCTGACTCCCCCTGGCAGGAAGTACAGTCTGAAGTTTATGCCTACAGGCGCCAGCATCTTGCTCATTTGGCAGCAGCATTTTCGCTTTTCATTTCACAAATATTTTCTGGGCAGCTATATGTCCAAAAGATGACAAAGGCCAAACATATTTCCAAAAGCTTGAGGGAAATGATCTGTGATTCTGTCATTCAACCTTTGTCAGTTTGATCCAATAAACTTTGTTTTCAGTTTAAATTTCCCTCAGCTTGGCAGTCTTTCCTGGTTCTGACCGATGACCCAGTCGTATAAATGGTCAACTTCAGGAAGGTAGACCACATTTAGTTGGCCCAGTGATAGTCTTCCTAGAATGCTCTAGAGAGTATTCTCTAGAATACTCTCATGTAGGTCTTTATGGTAGGTCTTCAGGGAAAATCAAGAAGGAGATATTTATTCAAAAAAGTTTTTCCTCTTAAGTAAGTATGAAAATAATTTGAATGATGATAATTACAGCAAAAGAATAAATAAATTAGCTGAGATGACTGTCTTTTATAAAGGCTACATAAGTTAGGCTTCATTGGAATGTTCAAACCATATTATAAGAGTAAAACTTGGGAATTTGGGATTTATGGAGCTGTAGGCGAGAGAGTGTTGGTTTAATGACACCGGGGTGTTAGGTCCTATGATTTAGCTGAGACTGGAGCCAGGTTTCACAGTCTGGATTCCAGAAAGGTCAAATTCTACATTATCCTTTTTGGGAAAGATCAAAGTCTATTCCAGCTGATCTGTGTTCTCCTCTAACTTTGTCATAGTTCTGTCAGTCAGGTGTGCTCTGGTCATGACCTTTATGGAAGAAGATAAACAAACTCCAGGATCCAGCTTCCCAATCACAGATCTGTATTTCTATTCTGTGTATCCTCCACATTCTTATCCTCTTTAGCTGACACCAGCATTTCCAGTATAAGTTCTGAGTCCTTACTTTTATACTTAGCATCACACTAGGAAATGTCAAAATAAAGAGATGGACAGCCCTTACCTAACTTCTAGAGATTACTTCCGAATAGAAGATATTTACAAAAATAAAAGCAAATGTTAATCACATGCCAAAGCAATATAGATAGATATTCCAAAGATTTTGAGAATCTATTTCTAATAAGGAACAATCATGAGAAAAGTACAAGAACTGGAATCTATTCACTGAAACCGTAAATCAGGATGGTTATATTAAAAAAAGATTTATTTCTTAAAAAAAAATCAGCCTGGATGATAAAGTTACGAGTGTAAAGAGTTATAAAGTATCACATGGATTTTTCCCCCTATCATTCTTACATTAATAACTAAAATCCCTTCACAAGAGCACATGTTTCAACAGCTATGCAAACAAAGTCAAAGCAATGTGTCTAATTGAATCTCCAATATTAAAGTCAATTTGTGAAATGTCTTACAATTGCCTTCCAATTTGTATCCCAAGTTTGTCTGAAGGTGATAATGGTGAGGACTGATATTGCACAAGGCAGGCAGCTGTCACAGTTTAAATCCTTTCATTCCTGACATAGTCTAGCACAAGGCAAAATGAGCTTGCCCTTTAAAAGCTGTGACCATTTTCCTCCCAAGTTGCTCTTTTATTATACAAATGAATCACTCTCCAGTGACTGTGCTAAAATGAGCAAAGCTAGAAATCTTTCAGCTTCCAATTTTTACAGAGACCTGAACTCTTACTAGGGACTGCTGACTTGACTCTTCACAGAGAAATATGGAAGTCCAGACATCAGTACTAAGAGAATTGTTGGCCAACTAAATTTTAGAACAGGAATGGCTCTCAAAGCTTCCAAAGGCTCAGGGGAGATTTTTAAACACTCCATTCAACATTTTAGAATTTTACACCATCAAACATAATGACCCAGAGTCTTCCTGAAACATCTTTATCCTATTCCAGCCTATTGAACAAGAGTTAATACTTTGATGTTTCTGTTTGCATATTTATTGACTCTGCACAAAGATGATGATTAGGTTTTAACCCCAGGAATGAATCAGTGGTGTCAACAAATGGTTACCTGTTCTATACAAATGGTTACCTGTTCAATTAGCTATGTCTGCCTTGAAACTGGAATAGATAGTAACAGACTTCTTACTCTGTTCTCTGGAGAAGAGTCTATCATTCAATATGCTCAATAAAAAGCAAATATAGCATATGGAAAAGGAATTGAGGTCCTGGAACCAAAACGCCCTGGTTGTTACTACTTTTGATGTCATTTTTGTCTCTTTCCTCACTTGCAAATGAGAATGTTCATATTTATGTTCGGGGTTGTTGCAGATTACATTAGATAAGGTTAAATAAAATACTTAGCATGGCACCTTGATGCATTATAGGTGCCAAACAGTTATTAGCATCACTATTAGCATCTTTACATTTTAA